TAAAATACATAAGTTTCTAAAAATTTTTCTTTTTAAAACACACAAAATACACAAATTAGAAGAAAATTAAATTAAAAAAAGGAAAACCAGAAGATGAAAAAATGAAACGAAAAAAAAAACAGAAAATAAAAAAACTAAATAAGTTTATAAGAACTCATTACAATTTCAAAAAAAAACTTTTTAGAACTATAAAAATTAAAAATTAAAGGAAAATTTAATTTAAAATAAATTAAAAACAGACAAAATTTAAACAAATTCCTAAAATATAAATGAAATAAAAAAATATATATATTACACTAAAATCTTAACATTAGAAAAAGTTTAAAAGGAAAACTCTAACTTAAAAAATTTAGAGAAAATTAAATTGAAAAAACGAAAATGAAAACAATAAAATACATTCTTAAAAATTAATACAGTTGAAAAACAAAATCCTTTTAAAATCAAATATCAAAATTAAAAGAATCAAATTTAAAATAAATTAAATTAGAAAAAAAGAAAAAAAGCAGAAAGTAAAATCTAAAAACTAAAAAAGGGCAAAACAGAACATTAAAAAAAAAAACAAAATAAGTTTATAAAAATTAAAGTAAATTAAAAAATGTTTTTTATTTTAAAACAACATATGTATCTACATATTCTAAAAATTAAAACATTACAAAAAAATAAAAAACATTAAGGGATCCAAAGAAAATTAAACTAAAACAAGAAAAAAAGAAAACGTAAAAAATAAAATACATTTCTATAAATTAATATTAAGTTAACTAGTAATTTTTAGAAAAAAAAAACCGACTTCAACTCCCATATAAAAAAAAATATATATATATATATCTCATGATCCGCTGATCGGATCTTAACCAGATTAGTATGGGACCACCTCTGAGACACTACCTTTCCGATGCAAAAAGAAAAATCGGTTGACGTGGTCCAAAGTTATGCGGTAACATACATAAAAAAAAAAAAAAAAAAATTTAAAAAAAAAAAATATTCCGACGAACTGATAACCTCCTCCTTTTTTGGAAGTCGGTTAAAAAAGAATATTTTTCTTTCTAAAACAATAAAAGTTAGAAATTAAAAGAAAACCAATTTAAAGCAAATTAAATTAAAATATATCAGTGGCTTCAAATTAAATGAAATTTAAACAAGTAATTTTTAAGCAAAAAACAAAACCGAATTCAATTCTCATATAAAAATTCAAGATAATCGTTCATTTCTTCATGATCCATGGATTTAATCTAATATAGTATGGAATTACCTGCGAGGTAACACCTTTCCTTTAAAAAAAAAAATATAGAAATCGGTTAACGAAATATCCCGACGAATTGAAAACCTTCTCCTTTTTATGAAGTCGGTTAAAAATATTAATTTCTTTTTGAAACAATAACATCTAAAAGTTAAAAGGAAATTAAATTATAAATGAAACAACAGCAAATGATAAAAATAAAATAAGTATCTAAATATCAAATAAAAAAAAAAATTGTTTTTCTTTTTACAACAACGGTATCTACAAATAACAGAAAATCTAATTAAAAAAACCCCAAAAAAAAAATTAAATATTCCGCTGCCTAGGGATTCGAAACTTGGTCCCCTCGAATAGCTCCATCTGAAAAAATCCCAGGTGCTTTCTGCCTTTTCACTTTCAAAATTGGCAACTGAGCTTTGTTTGTAAGACTTTCGTAACAGAATAAGTAAAATCTTTCAAACTAACTTTGCCTACTGTCTTTCAATTGAAATGGCAAGATACGTGCATCTAAGCCAGTAATGACCTGTAACTGAGTCTAATAATTGGGATGTGAAATTCTAAAAAAATCGAGCTGTTGGCAAAGAAAGTTCTAAGATTTCTCAGAGCCTTGATTACAAGGTTTTTATAGCGCTGAAATTCGCTCGGATCTGGTGTTTAGGAAAATTATGAAGAAGTAGAATTCAATGTACCTATAGTATTCCTTTATATCACGCATTTATTTTCAACACTTTGATATATATCAGTTTCAGTATTTTTCGCTCACAAGCGCTCACGTAATCCCTTACCGTTTTTGGCGCTATCAAAGCCAAGAATTCCACAAAGCTTTGTGCTGTTTGACGTCAGTAAAATGATCGTGATAACATGTTCGACGGCATTGGAACATGTTAAGGCATATTTTAGGCGTGCAGAGTGCAGTCGATGATATTGGAAAAAGACGGCTAGTGGAGATGTGTTGTAAGGTCCTATGTAAGCAATACCAGCAGAAAGGCTTTGAAACAACTTTAGGGTATGTGCATCGTTGTTATTTTTGCACTTCGCACGTACAACTGATTGCTACCACAACGATTTTCACTGCTTCTCGCATACGCGCTGTATGAAATTTTAATGTGCCAATAGGGCACAATAATTATGGCGAATTGCATAAATTATTGTTGCATACTTAGCGACGCAAAAGCCACAGACAAATAGTAATACTACTTAAATGCAAATTGTATGAACATACGTACGTAAGTTTTCATGTACGATGAACATTTATAAGTCTCTATAATGATATATTTATTACCAAAGTGTCAAAGATACGCAAGCTTGCACATACAAGTATACGTATACAGCAGGGATGTTACGAATATTTGCATTCGCATTCGTTATGCGAACGATTCACATAATTTTACACATTCGCGAATGTTTTGCGAATGCAAATGTGTACATGGGCTGAGAGTACATTCTAAGGGCCGGTTGTTCAATGTCCTCCGAGTTAAACATCATTATCGACGATTTCGACATCATGCATATAACATGTAATCGATAAAGCAGTCGTTGTAATTAACCGGAGTTTCTACCTCCGATTTGTGTTAACCAGACAATGAACAACCGGGCCTAAGTCTGCCTAACCAAGGTGCGG